TGGCGCCTCCATCTTCTTCCTCCCTTCCTTCGAGGGATGTCTGAAGCAGCCTGGGACCTAAAGCCCCACATCCGGGTGGAGTCACCTGTACTGCAAACCTGGAGTGTGTTGAACTCCTGCTCAGGGCGCAGTGAGTGAACACCCCGCTGATTCCTGGGTAACAGATGGCAGACGGCAACGGCTAGTACAGAGGCCAAAATAAAGACCATTTTGGTGGTGAGATGGATTCCAATAAACAGAAAAAAATTATAACGTACAGTGACAGACTTCTGGAGACTTTTAACTTGAGGTCAATTTTGTGGGAAGTGATATGATTGTAAAATCTCATCATTTCAGCTCTAGAACGAGTCTCTTTAGAAATATGGGAAGCAAAGAAATCTCATTAAAAAATCTGTATACAGAGGAGTGCACAGCTCACAGGCGAGCTTGAGGAATCTTCTCCAACTGAACACAATCTCATCCCGACACCAGGAGTGGGAGACAGAGTACCAGTGCTCTGCATGGGACAGGGCGACTGCTCCCCGTCGCAGCGGGCGCTGCACCCAAGGGGACGCACCGTGGTTCTTAACAGCACTGTTAGTTGTGGCTGGTGTGTATTTCATAAGAAGAGGATCGCGCTGAGACCTCCTCTGTGTCTGGCGTAGTTCATGCAACACTAGGTCCGAGAGGCTGACCCACAGTGTTCCCTTCTCCTACTCTGTGCGTCCTCAATGCTCCAGAGCACCCCACTAGGTGAACAGAGAGCCTATTATACGTTCTACTGGATGGACACTGGGTACTTTCAACATCAATATGATGAAAGCATCAATAATGATATAAACTATAAATACTGAAGTAAATGACTATTTCCCATAAAAGACTAAGATTGCCACAGCAGATAAAAAAAAAAACAACAAATGAAGCTAACACTACATGCTGCTTATAAAAAAGCTGATGTAGCTACACTAACAGGAAATCCAGAATGATGGCAAGAAGCACTACTACAGATAAAATGGAACATTTCTTAATTATAAGGGAATATGTGTATTTTCTTTATGATACCTGGGTATGTGTATAAAATAATCTTAAAGTTCTGAGTAGCCAGTGACAGATCTTCAAAATATGTAAAACTGAAAGAGAATTAAAAAAAAAAACAGACAAATCCACAATCATCGTGCACATCTTTACTACAGCTGATCGAGATAGCAGAAAAAATGTTAAGATAATCTGAACGGCACGATGAGAAAACTAAATGTAAGCTGATGTACAGGGAACACAGAACACAGCACCAAACATCTCCATTATTTATATTCCTTCCTAGTATGTCTCAAACATTTACGAAAACTCACCAAATTCTGGACATGAAGAAAGCATAAACAAATTTCAAAGCACTGAAATAATTCAGTATTATGTTCTACACAAACAGTAGACAGAACCTAGATGTCAATTTATATCACTATTTCCATAGATAACAAACAGATGACTAGAAATATCCCCAAGGGCTTGGAAACCAAATAATAAGTATCTAAATAATAATCAGCCTTTATTTTAAATATAATCACTTTTATCTGTTTTTCAAACAAAGCTAAAACCAAAATTAATGCTCACATGGAGCCTTTAATTCTCTGCACTATAACATGAGAAATGATACCAAAATCATTCTTCTAGTTCCCCCAGATAATTGAGAAAATAGACAAAATGACCCATCAGCAGAATCCATGGAGAAGAAAACTGAACCATGGACGCCCAGTATCGTGATGTCTGTGTGTACCTTGCGTGTTATCGGTTTTAGATCATAAGAAAACCTGCTGCAGGCATTACTGTCCCCATCTTACAGAGAGGGAAACTGAGGCCCACAATATTAAAACATTTTCAAAGTCGTTCAACGAGGAAATGGGGGCTGGTGTTCAAGCCTGTCCCGCCCTACAGGCCACACGGACGGAAACACAGAACGTGCCTGACTTTGCTGATGAGGAATCTGAAGCTTGGAGACATCCAGAGATGGGCCCAGCCTCACAGCGTGGCCCAGCAGGGCGTGAAGTGGACTCCAGGGGACTCTGGCTGAAGTTCATCCCCTAATAACTGCAGCTACACCTCCATGTGCACAAAGCCGGGGACGCACAGGATCAGGGACAACCTCTTTCTGCAGAGCTGTTTCCCAACAAACAAACAAGATCCCTGACTTCAACACACATTCCTACCTATGGTCTTGGCTAAAATCTCAACCAACCCAGTGACACCACACACAGCCTTTTCTGTGGCTGCAGCTCGGCACGTCCCTTCGAACGGTCTTCAGCCGGTTGATGCCCACGGGGGAGATGAGGGATGGCCGTGGCGATCTCGTGGGTTTGGGGTAGTTTTTAACCCCGGCCTTTTATTAAAAGAACCGCATAACGTGCTTCACTGAACGCTGTCCTGCAGGGCTCTCGGCACAAGAACGGTGTGACGGCAGACAGCACGGCTGGCGGTGTCCCTCGGGCTGGGCGTCTGCCACTCGTACAGAAGACCTGACGCCCGCGGGACCCGTGCTGTGGCCACCGCCTACGGGGGTGCCCAACCCCAGCACCAGACACGGAATGAGGCGTGCCAACAGCTTGACTCAGCATCTAAATCTAGGTATGAATCTAGACTCCGGTCTAAAAAAGTTCACCTTTCCAAAGTTTTCTCATAACCGAGCTAAGGTTGTCAAAGCAAAACTACTACCAACAAGCACGGTGGCCACGCACAGAGAGGGACCGACAACCGGCTCCGCGTACGTGGCCCGTGGCCCTCGTGTGTGAGGAACCGCGGCTTCCGTCCAGGACAGTTTCGAACAGAAGTATAAACACAGGCCAAGAACTACGGTTACACACGCCTGAGCATCACACACATACACACGGAAGCTAGAAGGAGCTTCCTGAAAGCCGCTTTCCCACCGGGAGGCCCTCAGCACGCCTCTCCAAGGCCTGCCTGCTAGGGCAGCGCCAGCCCCGCCCTTCCGCACAGAACAGCGACCCGAGCACGTGTCTCTGCAGCCAGCTGCCTCCCCTTTGCTCGGCGTTCAGCTGAAAGTTAGTTAGAAATACTTTCTTCTAGGGAAGGAAGCCGGTTTTCAAAGCCTAATTGGTGCAGTGCAGAGACGGGAGAACTGAAACCACGCCTTGAGAAGCAGGTGCAGGATAGCTTCAAAATGGTACACGGCTGGGGCGCCCGGGGGCTCAGCTGCGAGTCTGACTCGTGATTTCGGCTCAGGTCAGGATCTCACTGCTAGTGGGTTCAAACCCCGTGCTGGGCTCTGCGTGGACAGCATGGAGCCTGCTTGGGATGTTCCCTCTCTTTCTCTCTCTCTCTCTCTCTCTGCCCCTCTGTCACTTGTGCTGTCTCTGTCTCTCTCAAAGTAAATAAATAAACTTTAACACAAACGGTACTTTGTTGATGGCCCAATATCAGCTTAGCTCACTTTGCTTGGCCGTTTCATGAAGCACCTCCTTCCACAGGCAGTATCTCTGGACACTGTATTATCAGGGCTCACCTTAGAGAAGAACCCTTAGGGAACGATGGTCACAAGATATTTCAATTTGACTTCATCTGCTTTTGTGACTAAAGCTTTAAGCTGCCTGGTGTGAAACCTCTTCAGTAACAACCTCACCAAAATGCAAAAAATACTGACCTGTGCTTTTGTTTTTCAAAAAACAGCCCTGCATACAACACAGATGAAAAACTAAGACACTCTACCATTACCTTAACAGGCCAATCATGGCATAAACAGGAATCTTAAAGAACACAGTGCAGAAAACAGAGGACCTTATATGCAGACACTGTCAAATGTATTAACACTCTATCAATAAGAATATCATCCATCAAATCACCCATTAGGTTCTGTTTCTTTTAATGTGCATGCTGCCTGAGCAAATATGGTCTACACGTTTTGCAAATGGGCAGGGTTCCCCACGACTTTCGAACACGTCTGTCACATCTCCAGCGTCACCACCGCGACCCACCACCCTCTCTGTGCTGCTCATGCCAGGCAGATATGAAAGGTACAGGGCTAAAGGCTTCATAGCCATTAGCTTTACACCTTCTTTAACCACCAGGTAGATTTACACATAAGACAGCCGAAGCAAGACGAAGTTGGCTGCCTGAGATCACAGGGCCAGGAGGGAAGGACGAAGAGAGAATTTGCATTTGGCTCCAAATGATCCCACAGCATCTGCTTACAACACCCCCTGCGTCAACTGGTATTACTTAAATACAGAACCGCTTGGGCTATGTTTCAGAACTTTCTCTAAATTACCTTCGGGTGAGCATTTCCTCAGGCAGGTCCTCACACTCATGTCCACCACACTGCCATTCTGCATAGTAAGAATTCAACACTCAAGGAAGGCATTCTTGTTCATGAAAACGCCGGGCTACGTCCAGGAGTGGTTTTGCTCACCCGGGGCCGGCAGCTGCTGCCATGGCCCCAAGCCCCGCCGAGTGGGACATCTGACTTCCAATATTTAGCAGCCAGCCTCTGCTGTCACCGACATGGCTCTCGCATCATGGACAAGTCCCTCCTAACTTCTGGGAAATGAGCAACCCTCCGTGCAAGTGGCTCAACTCCCTGTCCTCGGTCACACCCGTTCCCTCTCCAGGCACTCCCCACGAGACAGCGGTGCACGGGGACAGGGCATTACCCTTTAAATCACAAACATTATTTGACAAAAATTAAAAATGTTACCAATTGGTCAAAACATGAAGTTCAAACAACTGCTACCGCTTCAACTGTTCCCCTGTCCATCAACTGTTTGCGCTGCTAACTGTGCCGTCCTGGGGGGGCTCTCTGTCGCACCTGCTCTGGCTGACATATAACGGAAAAGACCCGTTCTCCTGGCCAAGGGGGGGGGGCCGGGAGCGCGCTGTTGGTGAGTCTTGAGGCAGATGCTCTCACTCCACCACATGATAGCAAACGACGGGAACGGACGAACTGCCTGCTAACTGTTTTGATAAATGAAATGAATCCTCTTAAAAACGACAACAACTTAAGAACCCGAGCCCCTTACCAGCATGCAAGTAAGCCAGGTCCGGGTTTTCGATGTCCGGGTGCTGCTCCTTCAGGTGGTTCCGGAATTCCACGGGCACGTTCGTCCCATAGTCACACTTGGGGCAGTTGTACATCTTGACCCCCTCATGTTTGCCGGTGTGCAGAATGTGTTTGCGGATATTTTCAGCACAGTTGGACCTACAAATCGGAAAGGAAAGTAAACCAAGTTAAGGCCAGGTAACACAGACAAGGTCAGCGGCCAGAGCACGCAGGTGAGACCTCACGAGGCACCGGTCCGGGTGCTGGACTCGCACATGAACTTAAACCTGTGCGTTCATTAGTCCCATGAGGCTGGCAGTCTTTGTGACCTTGGTGCTCATTTTTAAGTTGGTCTTTTACCTCAATTCGATGCACCACCAGAAGCAGAAAATCCCAGGGTCTACGATTTTAATAAAAAAAGATTCTGGTGCCGCGTGGGGGCACTCAAGGAGCCTCCTTCACCCCAAAAACACACCTTTGAGGAGGAAGGAGAGGTGCAGAGGGAGCGCTGTTGCCTCCACTGAAGTCAGAGCAGTAAGGAAACAAAGAAACTTTGGTTTTTAAGTTCTGCCAAGCGAGCTGTCTCGAAGGCAGGCTCTAAAACGGTCTGGAGACGGAGAAGCAGCAGAGCGCTACCTGCCCGCGAGTTCTCCACGTTGGGGTAGGTTTCTGAGCGCCAGGACCTGAGAGACACAGTGAGGGCTTGTGTATCACACGCCAAGTAGCCCTGAAAATAGCAAGAGACCCCTCTCCCGCTGTTTGCAGACAATTCAGCAATGCGAGGCCTGAAACGCCTGGGTACTGGGGGCCTGGCCTCCGCTCCCTGAAACAAACTCTTCCACTTGCTCCTTCATCTGTCTCTGCATCTTTGCATCAGAGACAGCACACCTAGGCCCTTTCTGAACTCGTACACAGCAACTTCCTTTGTTAGAACAAAGTTATAAAAAGAGCACTGCACAAATTCAAGCAGGTCAGTGCGGGCTGCGCTTAACTAGAAATAAAGAAAAAATGAGGCTGGCCTCAGGTTTCCCGCAGAGCGAAATTAAGTGCAGGAAGAACATCAAGCAATAGGATTATCAGCTTTCCTTGAGGGTATCGCCCAAGAACAAAATCATGCTGGACGCCGCGTGAAGTGAGGGTCCTGTGACCGATCTGGCAGGAGAATGTAGCAGCGAACACATGTCACAATGCCGGGAGGTGATGCGGGTTGCGCACCGCCTGACACCTCTTGGGACAGGGGTGCTGTGTGTGATCCACTGCATCACACGTTTGCTTCCGGGAATGCACCCTGGGAAACACCGGCGAAGGATACAAAGAGGGCTCTCACCCCACAACTTTATAGTAGCTATGCTATCGCTCACGGGTAAAGGCAACCAATGACATCAGAAATCCAGAGACCCAGAAAATACATTATCTATTTACTCGTGAGCAGAGGAGCATGGAGGAGTATCAGGAAAGCAAGGCAGAGTCCATGCCAGTGGCTCTAGGAAGAGCATTCCACAAATGGGACAGGGACAGGGACGTCCTTTCCTAGTGACATCCAGATGAAGCAGAAATGCAAATACCTTCCTTGCGAATGGGCATCCTGCATTATCGGAGCAGTCCTGTAACTGGATCCACATATTCCTTTGGAGAAGCTAGGCCACCTCCCTCCCATCCCCAGGAAGAGGAAGTCATCAAATGCACATGCCCAATGGGACGTAGTTAGAAAGACTAAATCAGACAGATTCCTCTACAGCTAGACTAGAAAGAAACACATCAAAATATTAACGCAGCTATATGGAAATGCCCACTTCTATTTTCCAAATATACTTCAATTATGTATTAACATTTACGTTAAAAATATTTATACGAGCGCCTGGGTGGCTTAGTTGGTTAAGCTTCTGACTCCTGATTTTGGCTCAGGTCACAATCTCATGGTTCATGAAATCAAGCCCTGCATCAGACTCTGGGCTGACAGCTTGGGATTCTCTCTCTCTCTCCCTCTCTCTCTGCCCCTCCTCTGCTCACACTCTCTCTCTAAAAATAAACAAACATATAAGAGATATTTATAATAACAACACCTTTAAAAATAAGGAAAACTGGAACAACAGAGATTGTTTTTCAGTTATTTTCAGCTTTGCCTTTGGCAAGGACTCTGTCAAGCTTTATGTTAACTTTCTCTTAAAATTAGACTAAGTTTGTGAAAATATGCATGTACAGCTAATCTCTTTCTTGCCACTACTGAGTCACGAAACTTTCTGTTTATATAAATCCTTATTGCTAATTAATAATCACAATACTCAGTACTTGGTAAAGAATGAATAAATGCCTAATGTGCCCTCTGTGCTTCTCATTGACCTGCTCCTTTGAGGCTATCACTTCTGGAGGCAGAAACAGTGGGAGATTTTACGGAGAAGGAAGGGACCATCAGGAGATGGGCTGACTATCAAAGGTCACAGCTAGAAACTGGCTAGGACCTCCTTCCTTATATATTTACATATCAAAGATACTAGACAGGTTCTAAGAAAAGGGTGGGGTTGTAGAGTCTCTTGATTGTAGAAATGTCCTTGGGCGAAGAGCTCTGCATCATGGGGACAAAAGTAGCACCAGAAAACATCTGAAGCCGGATGAAACAAATGTCCGTTTTTATAATTCAAAGGGAGAGGACCATTTTTTGAATTCCCTAATGAGCTGAGTAAACTGTTCCAAATGATTCCCCTAATTCCGCAGACCCCCCTTTGTTCTCCACTGCATGGCGGACCCCCCCTCAATTCACCAATGTTTACTCACACCCAGGAGTGAGAACAAAACGCTCCCACTGTACTTAGTACTGTTATCAGGACTGCCTGCTCTTTGGTGCCACCTATATTACTTCCTTATGGAAAAAGCTAGGCATTGAGAACCATCACAGACAGTCCTGATCAGGTGAGGAAGTTAGAATTACCAAAGCCCACAAACTTCAATACATAATGCATACTTAAGTACAAGATGATACGAAGCCATGAACCCTCATGCTCCGTACACCTCTTAAAGAGATGACATCGAAAACAGAGTATTTTGTTTGTAGGAACAGTGTATCTTGGGCAAAAATGAACTAACATCTCTTAGGACCTAAAGAACATGTGGAAGTTAACAATCAGACCAATGATAAAGGAAGTAACGGCGGGGGGGGGGGGGGTGTTAAAAGACAAAAGGCTTCTTTTTATTTAAAAATATAGACAAAGCAAGAAAGGAGTGGTGTGGAGCTTGATATTTATAAGGTATTAAGGACTATTTCGTACACATATATTTACATATACCTATATTTTTATTTATACTATAAATACTGTTGACATGTTTTATGTATAATACATCTCTATATATATTTTTATAATTTTATGTTTTATACGCAGAGGTAAGACACATTAAATACACGTTAACAAGAAAATAAAATAGGCAATATCTGTCTGTAAAAGTACATTTTATGTATTTCATGGGTGATAGTGTATTTGTACGCAATCAAAATCTGTTGTTCTGCACTGAATGTTATGTGATAGTAAACTTTTTAAAATATTGGGACAGGGGAGCCTGGGTGGCTCAGTCATTTGAGTGTCAACTCTTGATTTTGGCTCAGGTCATGATCTCACAGTTGGTGGGATCGAACCCCACGGCGGGCTCTGCATGGACAGCGCGGAGCCTACTTGGGATTCTCTCTCTCTCTCTCTCTCTCTCTCTCTCTCTCTCAAAATAAATAAACATTTAAAAAAAATAAAATACTGGGACAAAAATGAGCCTTTCACAACTGCAAAATCAAATGACTCCAATCAAAGCCTAAAAAGGAGAAGCTGTGACATATTATGTCAATATGATTTAAAGCAGAACACCTGTGGTAAGTAAGGGCAAACTTTGGTCCCTGCACTTGAGAACATCATGTAACATACCGCTGAACACAGAGTAATGTCACAAAATTCAGTGAATAATAAATAGACCAGACACCTTCTGCTAAGTAATTCTGAATGTTATTCGGCCTGAAAATGATCATCCTTCCCCAAAACAGAATTTATGAGTAGTAATCAGAATGGTAAATTGAAGTGGGGCTAATCAAAGATGGGACGTGCGGGAGAAGGAAGGATGTTCTAAGATATTATTTCTAATAGGGTCATATCTAAACCGCCAGGCATAACAGCAGCTAAGCCAATGGGGCATACGGTAATCGGGAGTGAGTGACTGAATAATGTCTTCACTTTGACACTGATTTCTAAGATAAAAAGCTTATTTTTGTCCCGTGTTCATAGACTGGAAGACTTAATATTATTAAGATGGCAATACTCCCCAAACTGATGTCCAGATTTAATGCACTGCCTGTCAAACGCTCAGGTGGATTTTTTACAGAAATCGAAATGCTGACCCGAAAGTTCATACGGAAACGCACAGGGCCTAGAAGAGCCAAAACAGTCTCAGGAAAGAACTAAGTCAGAAGACTCAGACTTTCAAAAGCCACGGTAATCCAGACAGGGTGGTGCAGGAGAAAGGACAGGTCAAGGGACACGGCGCAGTTCCATCAGCACAGGGATGAGGTGGCATTCAGGACCTGCTGGGGCTACTGCACGCACCGCGTTAGGGGGAAAGGTAGATTTTGGAATGTGACACGATGAAAACCCTGAGGCAGGTACTACATATCCATGAAGACACTGAAGTATGACGTGTTCTGTAAAATACAAGCTGGGCAGCAGGAAAAGGACCAAAACGGGAACGAATCTTAAGGCTTCTTAAGTTACCTGGTAAAGGATGTATTTCACTCCGTTGAAAGGCAGTGTGTTTCCAAACAATAAGCAGAACATCAAAAGTGCTTCTAGATCTCTGCAAAATTATTTCTTAGTACTACTTACTAACTCGCTACCTATTAGCACAAAAAACATTAAATTTATGTTCTATTTAACCTAAGGAAAAGGAAGTTTAAAAAAATTCTGTAGAATTTGATGTATGTTATTTTGGTTATTAAAATGAAAAGCACCAGTGAAATTGTGGAACAAACATACTTTTGTGTATTTCAAACAAACAGCCTAACAAACATTTCAAATACATAAATGGTTATATAGAGTAGAAGCCTCCCTCCTACTGCTCAGATAACTCCTTCTCCCCCAGGGAGATACAACTTATAATTTCTTATCAGTTTTTGGGGAGAATTATAAACAACT